AATGCAATTTGGCAAATGGATGTGTTTTGTTTTGCAGAGTTTAGAAAATTAAAGTATGTGTACCACACTAGAGATACTTATTCAGGATTTCAATGGGCATCTACTTTGAGTTCTGAAAAGGCTGATTCTATAATTACACATTTGTCAGAATTTATGGGATCATGGGAATACCTGTACAAATTAAGACTGACAATGATCCAGCATATGTCTCTAGTAAAATGAAACAGCTTTTTGCATACTACAATTTAAGGCATATTACAAGTATACCACACAATTCTAAAGACAAGCAGTAATACAAAGATCTAATCGCACTATAAGAGACACGCTTAATAAACAAAAGGGGGTGATAAAGACCCTCAGAGATAGCTTGTACAATGTTTCTTTAAATTTTTAATGCTAATGAGAAAAGGAGAGCTGGAGAGAAACATTGGATAATGGAAAAACTCAATTAAATCAACCTGTATACTTTAAAGATGTTTTGACCACGGAATGGAAACCAGGAGATGTGTTACATTGGGAAAGAGGTTTTGCTTTTGTTTCCACAGGAAAAGAAAAGCTATGGATACCATTAAGACTGATAAAGATTAGATTTGAAAAGGAGAAACCTCTTGATTAGGAAAGGCAATAGTTCATCAACTGCATGGCCATTCCATCTAAATTAACTTATAAGATTGACAGATGTCTTTCATTAGATAAGATATAACCTCCCAAATAAATGGGAAACCCCCCAAAGTTAGGGTTGGGGCAAGGTTTTCTTTTTGTCTTTCCAAGAGAATAAAAACATCTATCTAAAGAATCTGAAGTCCACTGAAAAAATAAGATATCTGAAGAAGGACAAATCATCCAGAGAAAATGTCCCAAGAAAGGAGTAAATATGGTATAACACATTTCCAACAGGAAAAAATTTCATAAATCAAGTTCGATCGGTAGCGGAGAGCCCCACCGCCGCTGGCCTAGTCACCATCACACCCCGGGAGGAGCCGCAGCCTTGGTCTCCACCCACCCCAGTCACCACCACCGCAACATGAGCAGCCAGGAGGAGACCCAGCACCCACCTGCAGCTGCCCTCAGCGCCCCTGACACCAAGCCCGGCTCCACGGGCAGCTGCGCAGGGAGTGGCGCCCGCAGGCGGGGGACAAAGGTTTTGGGAACAGTAAAATGGTTCAATGTAAGGAACGGATAGTTTCATCAACAGGAATGACACCAAAGAAGACGTATTTGTACACCGGACTGCCATAAAGAAGAATAACCCCAGGAAGTTCCTTCGCAGTGTGGGAGATGGAGAGACTGGAGTTTGATGTTGTTGAAGCAGAAACGGGTGCGGAGGCAGCCAATGGTACAGGCCCTGGTGGAGTTCCAGTTCAAGGCAGTAAATACATTATAGACGCTATCCATGTCGTAGGGTCCTCCACGCAATTACCAGCAAAATTACCAGAATAGTGAGAGTGGGGAAAAGAACGTGGGGTCGGGAAGCGCTCCTGAAGGCCAAGCCCAACAACGCCGGCCCTATCGCACTACTTGAGGAGACCCTATGGGCGTCGACCACAGTATTCCAACCCTCCTGTGCAAGGAGAAGTGATGGAGGGGTGCTGACAACCAGGGTGCAGGGGAGCAAGGCAGACCAGTGAGACAGAATATGTATCGGGTTACAGACCACGATTCCGCAGGGGCCCTCCTCGCCAAAGACAGCCTAGAGAGGATGGCAATGAGAGGACAAGGAAAATCAAGGAGATGAGACCCAAGGTCAGCAGCCACCTCAATGTTGGTACCGCCTCAACTTCAATTACCGATGCAGACGCCCAGAGAACCCTAAACCACAAGATGGCAAAGAGACAAAAGCAGCCGATCCACCAGCTGAGAATTGGTCCGCTCCCGAGGCTGAGCAGGGCGCGGCTGAGTAAATGCCGGCTTACCATCTCTACCATCATCCGGTTTGGTCATCCAACAAGAAGAAGTGATATGAAATTCCAGCAATAAGAAATGAACAAAGATTGGAGCTGAAGACCTGAAGTGCTTGCTTTTTGCCCGTTGAACAGATACACTAGAACTATCTGCATTATCTATGCAGCATGGGGTTTTTATTATTTTTACCTAAAGATGTCTCTTTTTGGTAATGACAAATGTGTTTTTTAAAAAAAGGTCTGGTTTTTCTCAATACACCTTTAATGGTTTTTAAATTGTTTCATATCTGGTCAAGTTGAGATTTTTAAGAACTTCATTTTTAATTTGTAATAAAAGTTTACAACTTGATTTTTTAAAAAAACAAAAAAAGTCAACAAACTGCAAGCACCTGTTAATAAAGGTCTTAAATAATAAAAAAATTCATAAATCATCCAAAATGTTTGTTTCTACTTTTCTCTACAGACATATAAGGCAAATGTCGTTTTGTAGCCCCAACTCAATTAAAATTTAAAGCTGGCTTTGAAGTTCAAGCATTACTCTCTCCTCTAAACCCAGGCGTACTTGATAAAGGAAAATTCAAGGTCTCTGTCTTATGTCAGAAGAGCTACATGGTATGAGACAGAAGAAAACCAAAATCAAGAGACTATCTATTGCCACTAATCTCATAATCCTTTGGTTTTGATACTTTAAAACTTTTCTTAAGGTACAACTTATTATCTCAAAATTTATATGATACACACACACACATATAAACACACACATATATTTCAACCTTTTGTTGTAATATAGAGTACTAACTAATTCTGGAAATAGGCTTCATCTAGCTTCCTATATGTGATTTTGAGCTTGAGTATGAAGCAGATAACTAGGAACTAAGTTTGTATATCCTGGATGTATTTAAAAGATTGTGGTCCTTTAACCTCTCCAAGATCTGCTGTATATGACATTTAAAATGTTTACGTTTTCTACAGTGAACTGTGACCGTTCCTAACATCGATCTTTGAAGTCTCCAAAAGGATGATGGGCCCTATAACAACGATTCCACCTGGATTGTGGTAATGCCACTAAGCTGACAAACACCACTCAAAGATCTGCTTTGGATTACAAACTGCTCAGGACACTTTCAAGGTGGTTAGTTAAGATGGTCCAGCCTCATAGACTACTAGGCCAGGACTTCAGATAAGCCCCGCACTTTCCCATCACACTGAGACTGGACAACAGCTAGCTCTCCGGGGACTTGATCTTTATTTCAGTGGTTTTTTTCTGGGTCCCCTAAAGATGCCATTGCACTCTCAGCAGAAAGTAAATTTAAGAACATGATGTCCATATTCCCAAGAAGTAGGATGGGTGTTTTTTTGGTTCTTTGATGGATGTTTCTCATCATTTAGGGGGCTTGGTTACAAGTTGTTATTGGTCATGGTCAGGGAGGAAACTAAAAGGAAATTAGATTCAGGGATCTCATTCTGAAGAAAAAGGGGAGGATATAGAAATGATAGGATAAAAGGGTAGATTATTGAATCTATTTTCAAACTAAAAAAGCAACTATTAAAATGGTATAGATTTTTATATACTGATACAAATTTAAGGTTATATTTGTTATACTGTATATATGTTTCTACTCTTATTTAAGATATTTTGTATACTGATAAAAATTTAAGGTTATTTTTGTTATATTATATCTTTCTATTTCTTTAAGGTATTGTACCTATGCAGCTCACTTAAAAATATAATGTAAAGTTCTAGTCCTTGAAAGCTATTTAGGAAAATGAAGAAATACAAGTTAGCAGTTAGTCATCAAACTTATAGTGATGTTAGGTATGTTTTCAAGGTCAAACACAGACATATTTTAATTAGATAGATGGTCTTCAAACATTTCAGAGAACTACAGAATATAGAATTTAAACATGTTTTAATAACGTATGTATAGCTTTTCACCACAGACACATCTGCTCCATGTATTCACAATGGATCACAGTTCAAAGCAACAGAAAAGAGACATTAACAGCTTAAACTGCTAGTGGTGGGAAATAACTTATTTTAGTTAAGAGAGACTGGGTATTGAAGTAAATAGAGACGATGACAGGCCAGGAATAATCACGTGAGAGAAAATAGAGCACTATCAGAGAGGAGGGACCAGTGAGTAAGATGACAGAGGAAAGAAGCTGGAACAAATGCAGACGACTTAGAGTGACATTGTGTCCGGTGTAAAGACAGCACCGAAAACGTGGTGTTCCACAGAACACTGGAGTGCGACACATGGGGTGACAACTGTTCATTGTCATTGAAACAGTCCTGCCCTGGATTTCAAGAGACACGAGAGACACATTTGATTTTAACAACAGTTCACAGAGTATACAAAGAACAACTGGAATGTATTAGCAGATACAGATTTCAATCTCAGGAACCTACATGATTTCCTCAAGAAGGAAAATGACATACAGCTTTGCTGAAAGTGACAATTTTATAAATTGCCACTAGTGTGGCAAAATATTAATTATCAAATCAATGGTAAGTCTATGGAAATTATATTATTCTACTTTTATATACATTTGGAAATGCTTACAGTGATTTCCTTAATAAAAAAAATATACTTTGTGTGTGTACGCATGTATGCCTAAGCACATGTATGAAAAGTGAGGAGACAATTTTGTGAAACTGGTTCTCCCTCTACATTTACATGGGTCCAGGGACTGAATTCAGATCATCAGGATTCACAAAGTACCTTTACAGGGGAGGCCACTTTGTGGTCCTAGAATAAGAACTTTTTAAGATGTCTAAGATTCCAGGTGGTAATAAGACAGGAGAAGCAATACCCTCTTCCCAGCTGACCTGATCTTTGCAGATGAATTTAAATATTGCAGGGAACAATTCAAAAATATACATGTTATAACACTCTAAAATTAGGTGCAAAAGAAGAAAAAAAAAATTGGTTTGAGGTAGGATTTGTGCCATGCTTGACAAAATTGGTTCTAGAAGGGAGAAATCAGCTGGCAGTATGATCGGGCTAAGTGTAACAGGGTAATGCACAAAGATACAAGAATAAATGAGCTGAGGTATTTCAACCAAGTGGAGGCCAAAGCACAATGGTGCGGACTTACTTCATCTCCAGAACTTCCTCTAAGTGCTTCCTTCTCTCTGCCCGGAGATTGGTGAGATGTGTCTCCTTCTCTGCCAGGGACTGCTGCGTGGAGGACAGCTTAGCTTTCATGGACTCCAGCTCCTGCTTCACCTTCTCCATGGCCATCAACAGCTCTTCCACCTACGACACATACAGAAAGAAGAACACCATGGTCAAAAACAGAGAGTGCAGCTAGGCCATGGGCAACTCCTGGGCTGATAAAATGGAAGACACACATGATCATAGAAATCAAAAATTTCTAAACTGTATCTGACTATGTATATATCAAGAATAAACATGGGTGGAGATTTATCTCTGGGGTAGAGGGCTTATCCAAGACTGTCAGTTCAGGCCCCAACAAACAACAATAACAACACAAATCCATCCCATCCCATACTTTGTAGCTAAAGTTTTCTCTGGTCCTGCCCAGCTCCACAGATCCTGAAGACGCTTTAATCACTCAGAAGCTTATATTAATTAAAACTGCTCAGGCATTAGCTCAGGCCTGCCACTGACTAGCTCTTACATTTAAACTCAGCCCACTTCTGTTAATCTATATGTTGCCATGTGTTCCGTGCCTTCACCTGTGTGCCATTGCATGCTGCTCCCTGGAGGGCAGGCTGGTGTCTGCTGTCTTAGCCTTCCCCTTCCCAGAATTCTCCTTGTTTGTTTATTCCATTTATACTTACTGCCTGGCTACTGGCCAATCAGTATTTTATTTATCAACCAATCAGAGCAACACATTCACAGCATACAGAGTGATATCCACAGCACTTCCCCTTTTCTTTTTTGTTTTTTAAAGGGAAGGTTTTAACTTCATCTTCTTCTTGGCAAAAATAGCCATTTGGGCAAGAAACTGTTCTTGCCTGGACTGCTTGACAAAATGTTGTATCGACTGGACATGCAGGACCCATAGGAAGATGACCACTGAACTTTGCAAGGCAAAATGGTCCTTCGGGTTCCTGCTTTGCAGAAGAAACTGTCAGACATTCTACAGGACACAGAGAAAAGTGACTGGGAGACTAGACCTATAGGCTGAAGATGGATGCCCCAACATTACAGAGGAACTTTGGATGACTGTCCAGGTAGGCAGCTGTCACTGTCATTTCCAGAGTTTTGGAAGTTGCTCTTCCTGTTTACTTAGGTAATATTGTATCCTTCTGAGGTCTTTGATGTATTTGAAGACTAGATAGTTATAATTTTCCTTGGTTATGATAAAAGATAAATTAGATATAAAACTTTAGACTCATAAATATAGGATAGATAGAATATTTTCTATAATTTTGCCAAATGCAAATAGACTAGAAATTATAACTTTAATTCTTGCTTGATTACTGTTTTGTTATATGTAATTTTACTACATTAAAATTAACCCCTTCCTTTTTGATTAGACAGAAAAGGGGAGGTGCTGTGGGATGTTCTGTATGCTGTGAATGTATTGCTCTGGTTGGTTGATAAATAAAATGCTGAGTGGTCAGTAGCCAGGCAGGAAGTATAGGCGGGATAAACAGACAAGGAGAATTCTGAGAAGTGGAAGGCTGAGACTAGCCTGCCGTCCAGAGAGCAGCATGTAATGGCACACAGGTAAAACCACAGAAAATGTGCCAACATATTGATTAACAGAAATGGGTTAGTTTAAATATAAGAGCTAGTCAGGGACAGGCCTGAGCTAATGGCCAAACAGTTTTAATTAATATAGCTTCTGTGTGTTTACTTGGGTCTGAGTGGCTGCAGACCATGTGTGACACAGAAAAACTTTCAGTTACAATACTCTAATGTAATAAGAAATATTTAAGAGTGGGGAGGAATGGAGAGAGAATAGGCCCAGCAAGGTGGCTCGGCTGGTAAAGTACTTGTTGCATAACCCTAATGATGCCCAGGTGGCTTGAGTTCAATCCCCTGAATCCATATAAAGGTCAAAGGAGAGACCTAACTCTACAAAGTTGTCTGTCTTCTGACCTCCAAATGTGGCATGTGTGCACTCCCGTAATCACACATACACTAACCCACCACAAATAAAAAAGTAAAAAATAAAGCACAAAATAATAACAATTACTTATAGAAAGTTCTTATGAAATAAAGGACAAACTTGAGTAAAAGAGGCAGTACACAGAGTAGTTTTTATACATCTGAATTAAGTTCTATTGTTTACACCATTAAAGAGTTTTTTTTGTTTTGTTTTGTTTTTTTTTGCCAGGTGGTGGTGGTGCACACCTTTAATCCCAGTGCTCAGGAGGCAGAGCCAGGTGGATCTCTGTGAGTTCGCAGCCAGCCAGTTCTACAGAGTGAGTCCCAGAATTGGCACCAAAAGTACACAGAGAAACCCTGCCTTAAAAAACAAACAAACAAACAAACAAACAAACAAGCAAATAAATAAATAAGAGAGAGTTCTTTTGTAAATCAAAAAATATATGATCAGATAAAAGAGGCACAATGCTTTAAAAAGATCTGGGCAAGGGGAAGCCTTGATAGAAATAAAAACAAACAAAAGATATGTGCAAGGCAACAAAAATACAGAATGCTAAAATACAGAGAAAGGAAGAAACACAGAGAGGAAGGTCTGTACCTCATAAGTCATTTTCACTCATTCTGGTTATTCAAATTTGAATTACTTCAATAAAAACTTTACTGAGGAAAGCATGCTATCACCAAACAGTGATCTCACAGGTAAGGACAGAGCACCAAAGTTTATATTAGTATCTATCATGCTGATGACTAATCTTTTCAAAAGGAGAAGAGGATAGAGAGAGGCAGGGATTCTGTCATTCACTCATTCCCACACAAACCAATTTTTTGTGCTAAAACTGAGAGCTATTTGGGGACAGGCCTACGGTAAGCACACCAGAGTTGTTCACAGGTTCCTTCAGGTGAGTGCTTGGTACCTAACCAAATCTGCTGCTCAACAGCAATTAAAGCATCTTTGCATTTGGATACCTGCATTACTTTTATATCTTCCCAAGTGCTCAAAATGATCCTTGCCCTAATGGTTGGATCTCCTTGGGCACATATTCACATCTGCAAATTGTACATGAATATATATTACCCTCAGCTTTCTGGGAACCACTGATAAGAGTTACCTCCATTCTATCCATTTAGGTTATGTAAATCTTTCTAAAATTGAGTAAATATGTTATGTGGAGACTCTTACAATAACCACAAAATCAATGGTGAATGAATATGCACCATGTACAGGTATTCTAACACAGGAAGAGCAAGATGTATTTGTTCTATTAGCATTTGTTGCCTTGCCTAAACAGATTTCCAAAGTCTCCCTGGCATCCTGTATTGCACCATTCCATATCCGTTTCTTATATACCCTAGAAAGAGTTTATACATTTTTTTTGTATGTATGTAAACATTCAAGTCCTCCTTTCCCTACACAAAAGGAAGCTACATATATCCTTTTGCAGCTAAACAATTTTTGGTACATCTTTTATGGAATTGCAAAATACAGTAAGATACACAATAAATGTATAGCTTGAAAAATCTATTCAAAGTCAATGCATCTTGTTAGCACGTAGATTAATAAACAGAACACTGTCAGCAACTCAGAAAATTCCTCTATATCCCTTTCCAGATAAAAAGTAGCCTAGCATTCTGTTTTTCCAAACTTGATTATTCTGCTTGCTTAACTTTGCAAATAGAATCATATAGCATATAATTATCTGGCGTTTTCTAAGATCCATCCATACTGATGGTATGATTATAGTGCCATAATTTTCCTAACTGCATATTTTACTTTGTGAAAACACAAAGACATATTCTATGATGCTTTGATAGGGAATATTTAAATTGAGGAGATCTTACTAAACATAGCTTTTTGTTTGTTTTTGTTTAGTTTTATTTTTTCCAGAGAGGGTTTTTCTGCTGTAGCCTTGGTTGTCCAGAAACTTACTCTGTAAACCAGGCTGGCCCAAACATGGAAGATCCGCCTGCCTCTGCCTCCCAAGTGCTGGAAACCACTAACCAACAATAAATGTGTTCTTATTTCTTATATGCTTGGAGTGTTTTATGCCCTGCATAAGAGTCTGTCTACATCAAAGTGATAAGATAATTCTATTTTTATAAACTCTTGATTATACACGTTTCGATTTATAAATCATATACACTGATTTCTGCATACACTGCAATGGTCAAAATTAACTTTATGACTATGTGTATCTAATTTACTTAATGCTATTAACAGCACAAAAATTAAGATCTTGGTTTAAAAATATTCCCATCTACTTTTAGACAAGATAAGAAATTAAGTAAAGAATAACTACATAAGGTAGCGAAAAAATAGTCCTTCACTGTGTACAATTACCTTCAAATTTCAGAAATGAGAAATGTGAAATGTTTTGTTTGATATAAAGACCAGACCCTATATGTATTTTCCAGAATAACAGCAAAACATCCATCTATCCCTTCTCCATGGTTCTGCTTTGTGTCGTATCAGTTACCTGTAGTCTGAAATTATCTACTGGAAAATTCCAGAAATAAACAATTGAAACTTTTTAATCATGCACTAGTCTAAGTAGTATGATGAAATCTCACAACCCTCCTCTCTCCAGCTGGCTGTGAATTACTAATTATTTGTGTCTGCTGTCTGCCTTCAGGTCACTCAGCAGCAGCCTCCGGGATCAACCCACTGACTCGCTCTTACAGTGCTTGTGTTCAAGTAATGTTTATTTTTACTTAATAATGGCTCTAAAGTGCAAAGTGATGCAGACAAAGAAAAGATGTAAAGTGTTCTCTTTCAAGGAAAAGTATAGCAAGAAAGACTAAGAGGCCGTATCCATGTAACTTCTAATACAGTATGTAGTTCTAATGATTTTATTACTGTTATGTTCTCACTGTGCCTAACAAATAAATTAAACTTTACTGTATGCATCCAGTATGGTTTGCAGTTCAGACATCCTTAGAGACAAGTTTAGAATGTATCCCCCACATGTAGAAAACTAACATACCTACCACTAAACAGATTAAGTACAGTTATTTCACTGTATCCCCACAAGTTTTTAAAAAACAAAAATCAGCATTCTTAATTTGTATTATTTCTTTCCTGCCTGCCCCTTTTTTGGAGACAGTTTGATATCAGCCTGAAATATCACTATGTAACTAAGGCTGGGCTTAAACTCCTCATCTTTCTGTGTGTGTGC